AGACAATGCTCAGTTTCTGTGAAAGAAATTCATACCTACTAGCTTAATCTATTGTTTATATGTTAAGACAATGGCTGGTCCATTAAACCATAACAATTGTATTCGCACACATGAAATCCGTTTCTCTATTATTGTGCATGATAATTACATACTTGTCTTGGATATTCTCGATAAAACGCTAAATATCTTTATCATCATCATCATCTGTTGTCTTGTTGGAATAATCTCTTATTCACAATTAATTGCACATTCTTCAATTTTTGGCACAGTCGCATAAAAATAGTGCGACCTTTAAATACACGTTTCAATGTTTCCAGCTTCGCCACCTGTCTACAAAGTGATAATTTCCCCTTTCTATGGCTGGTCGCCAAAACTCGGTGCAAGTGTCCCGGGACAGATTGTTATAAATTATCGCGGTCTCATTTGGATGTTTATTATTCAGTACGAAGACTACGAAGCTTCGTCTCGTCTTTATTCATCGGCCTTTCGAGATATTAAGAGAATTGTTCGCTTCAATAATCTTTTCTTTATGTCGCCCTTGGATGGGGAGTTGCTAGGTCGGAGGCGTTTAGGTTATATCGTTTAATCTATAAACGCTTTGTTATCAGTATTTGTAATGGTTATTTAATGCCTCTACCGCTGTTTGAGAGTAAATTCCTACACCAGGTTGACGTAATAATAATTATTAAATGCTCACTTTTGTATGCATTATATAAGTTTTTAGGAGATATTACTTCACCGCTTATCTTATCTGTTCTATCTTGCAGTAGGATTTAAATCAGTCTTTTCCTGTCTTTGTGAGGATTGACTTACTTTTTTTTCGTCCAAGTTCAAACTACTATTGAAGTAAAAGCGTAACCGACATGATGTAATATCTATTTGGCGTTAACTTGCCACAGTACTGCTTATATTCTTTTTGGTACTGTTAGGTCGCTCGTGCTATTGTTTAGTAATTCTACTAGCATTCAGGGTTCCCAGCTTCGCGAATATGGCCAAATGCACATTGCGTGCTCAAATTGGCCCCACCTATTTTGTAAGATAAGTTTGAATTTATGACACTTTAAACACAGCAACGTGGATACCTAAAGATTTAACATAAAATATAAATCAACTAGTTTCCTTATTTGCGAACATTATCCTCGTAACCTTTAATAGTAGCTTTAATTAAACCAATACAAATAAGCGAATTAATAATATCGTAAATGTTATTAAATTAGTATAAACCCATCTGATTAATTGAATTAGGTGCATGGCACTTTGATGATATAAAATCGAAGTGGCAACCTTAGACGGTTGGGTGAGAGAGCACGTACGACCTACAAAACATTCGACGAAGCACGACCGACATTTTGAAATAAGTTTTAATTATCACCATTGTTCTGACCTATGTTGCTTGCACTTGACGAAATGTGGAGCTTTCAACTTGTATAAGCAATGAAAGAGACAGCTATGCTAAAGTAACGGACGCACAAACTGTTATATTTAACGGAAGGGGTCCTCGAGTAAGTGACGTAAATGTACTGGACTTGTTGTTTATGCAATGTGGTCCTCTTTCTTTTCCGTAGGAGTATGTGAAAATTGCTATTTATTTGTAGTCTTGTTACCAAGCACTCATCTACATAGAATCATCTACGACCAATTGAGTCACTACTCCAATTAAATTTGTTAGTGACAAGGTTTTGATATTGTCGTTTGGACAGCAGTGGATTCACTCAATTAGTGTCGTTTTGTGAGTTGAAATCTTCTGTTGTATAATTCATTTGGTTACTCATTTCTGCTAGCGACATCGCCCGCAGAATCGAAATGTTACCTAAGAAATAAATATTTAGATGCGTTTATTAACGTGAAACGGTATAAATATCTATTCAACCACCATGTGGTTACATTTAGGGATTATTACATTCTACAATGCTTGACAATGACAAGCTTTATTAGCATGTATTTGGAATACGATAACCTTCGCATAGTACTAAAGAATTTACAAGGAATAATGTAAAAGCATTGATTACGCAGTGAGCACTCGCATATTGATCGCTGAATTCAATTTAACAGCAGCAAACTTTGAAACAAACACCTTCCGAGCTTTCAAACTGCGAGGATTTATTGCTATCGCCATGGAAGCGAAAGGCATCTTGAAATGAAATGGCATCGGCCTTGACCAAAAATGTTTATCCTCTGATCAACACTTCCAAGAATTTTCTGTTACCGACAGAACTACTCTACTCTACTTCATCCAAGCTACACGTGGAAATATCGACCGATTCCATATAAATTCTCTCCGAGCTGTGGCATAACATTTTATTTAACCCAGACAACACAAGCAATTACTAAAAGTGTATGCAAACCACAAGCCAGTTTTCACTCACAGGTTAAAGCGATAAGGCCTAAAATAGAACCGACCTCAGATAACAAACAAGTGGTAATACCAAGACAGTTATTTTAATGTAAACACATACACAATTTAATCCAGGTAATGGAAGTTCTGGTGTGACATTGAACGAAAAAGAAATTCTATTTTTTTACCGATAGAAATAGTGTCAATAGTTAATACCCATTGAAGAGACCTCGATCTATATTGGAATTCCAATATCGGCTGGAATTTAATATGCTCTCACATTGATAATTCATATCTAAACAGATATGGCTTCGACCTTTATGAAATAACTCGTAGCGCTGAATCTACAGGGACCATGATGGTTTTGGACCTTTGTGTGGACACAAAAGAGATTAATTAAACAATTAATCATTCACCGCTGGTCCTAATGACGAATTCCCCATTTAGACTGTTCTAACTTGTGTTCGGTAAAGCGAGCTGGCTAATATTATGCGGCACCTGCGTGGGCGGTAATTTGGAAACTGATCTAGCAGATGAAAGACATATTTCATGTTTAAACATAATTTAAAGACGTCATAATTAAACATGCTCAACTTTTAATGTGCGATGTCTTAAATTAATATTTACACATAAAATGTAATAAACTTATCTAGAATACATACTCGTATCTTTAAGTTGAACATGTTACGGCACAATCAATACCAGTAAGTAGTGTAAGTACAGATGCACTAAGACTAGCCGGCTCTCGAAGAAAATTGTAGAAATACCGCTCTGAAATACCAGTGCTCGCTCCACTACATTTGCAGCTGCTGTGAATGACACTACTATGGGGGTGTACCTCGTACAACGTCCATCTACAGTTTGCGCACAACACTGCAAGACATCTCCACAACGGGATTGAAATGAACACCTAGGTTGTTTTAAAGAAAAGCTACAACTAACTCAAAAGAAACTTGATTGGTGTTTTATGAATCAGGTTTCATTATGAGTTCACATAATCGCTGTATATGTAACATACAATCGAACTTGTGCCAAGTCCGCTATCATTTTCATCTCAATTATTTAAACGATTGCGGAAGAGACTGTTGCACCGAACGTCGATGCGATGCGGATATTGCACAAAGGATACCAGCATCATAATACCATATTTTACTGTTACGCATGGCGTTATAACTAATAGTAAATAAGCAGACATTTATTTACATAATATGTATTTAAAATTTAATGTCCTTCATATATCATTGTATTATTATTAAATACTGACGTCATAAGCAGACGAAATAAGTTTTCACACGTGACCTAATGTGACCCATTCATTCATATCAAAAGTTTTGCAAAGAATCGTTTGGTTTTGTACGGTATGTGTGTGTGTGTGTGTGTGTGAATGTACGGCACTTTGTATGCACTGTAATCTATCAGCGTGGGTGCTATCCTATGCTAGCGTATGTAGCCGGGATGTGACACTGGCGCCATCTGAGCAAACAATGATATTGACCTTCGTAGCTCTAGCTCTACAGTTTGTCGCGAATCGCGGACTATCAATACTTTGCGTTTTATTATAAACATTCGATGCTTCGGTGATAGTCGTATGTAAACATAAAAATGAATTTGGAAACTTTTCACTCCTTTCCGTAATGTTTGTTTGGTTAATCAATACCTAGGTATCCTCTCTCTATTGACATAACACTTATCTTTGTCCACTCAATGCCAGAAAACTATGGAACAGCTGGAATTGTTTGTCAGCTTACTGTATGCAAATATTGAAGCTTTGGTTCTACCTACTGAGAATGAGTTCTAGTACTTATATCTGAATAGAATATTATAATTAGAGGAAGAATACAACTAGGAACTTCATGACCTTTTTCGAAATGTCACACCCTATTTATATTGTCAACTATTATTGCTTAAGCATTTTTGTCAATGCCTGGGAGGTCATCCAAAAATAAAAGAACATCACCGTTGCTTTGCGTCGTTGTTTTTTGAAATTAAAAATAATAGATTTTGATAGCAAAGCAATTACTCAACTGTTTTGTCAATAACTTATTGCTAAAAATTGCAAATATCACAAAAACTACAAGCTTTTGCTAGAAAGGCATCAATCCCGTAGCCGTTTTCCAGTTACTTGTCAAATATACACAGTGTATGGCTCGCTAGAAGAGAGAATGGGCTTAGAGTTTGGTTGACAGTCGTCACGGTGTTCACCGGTGTCGCTGCGTGCGTGGTGGCTAGATAGGCGCCGTTATCGCCGTCAAAATGGCGGCGCGTGGCGTCGGCCATTGCGCGGTGCGGTCGTTGACGCGGCTCGATCCGCTGCGTGGCGCGCGGATATCGATTGTTCCTTTCTGGTACCAGCACCCTGACATACAGCGACATCTAGTATCATTGAGCGGAATGTTTTAGTGTTTTGAAAGACTACAGATGGCGCTGTAGGGAAAACTGTTTGCAATAATGATATAATATTTTAGTTTAATTACAATTATAAAAATGTAATGTTTTTTTGTGTTCTTCGTATTTATTATTTTCCTATAATACCTATATAAGATTTCAATTAGAATCAAATCAAGAGACCAGCCTTGTGTGACATTAATACATACATTACTATTGTAAGCCCAAAATCTTATTAGTAAAAGTATAATAATTAATTGTATTTATTATTTGCCATCAGTGTAAAGACTTCGAGAAGGTGGGAGCGACGCTGGCGACGACACCATGTGACGTGGTGGAAGAGGCTGACATCACCTTTTCATGTGTCGCAGACCCTCAGGCAGCTAAAGAGGTAATAATAAATCAAATGAAGAGAATAGGTACTGGGAAATAAATTACTTTTAAGCATTCTAAGGCAGTGACTGATTTGTTATCAATTACATATGTTCTGTGGCTCACACGAAAGAGATAACTCGACGAGTTTCAAGGCACACCGGAGCTCAAAGTGATTCTTTTAGTAAAATTTTACAGATCCATAAAATACTTTAAAACGTTTAGTATTTAATGGGGTGTTGTAATGTTAAAATTTCTACAAAAGTTTTGTGGGATAAATAAAAACTAGAAGTTATTTCTAGCACCCCAACAGAAATGAAAATCATCGCGTATACAAAAATGTGATTGATTTCACGGGTAGGCGTGTTTGCACAAAGGTCGGCGCGGCCCTGACTCCGAGATGACCTTTACTGGGAATCTTTATGGGTCAGGGAGGGATGGTTGCGGACTATCGAGCCGGAAGATATTGTACTAATGCGTGTATAAACACTAGGTTCCTGTGAACTACATCCTTTACCCTTTTATATGGGTAGATAGATACTGGTAGAGATCCCATTTTGTTTTGGCATGATTTCTACTTATGGTGATATAATGCGAATATATGTAAATTTTAGGAGACATAGATTTGGACAGGTGTATCTTAGATGTGACCCTCGTAAGATTAAATTTTTATCAGTCTTACACTTATGGGTACGCACGCTAAATATAGGTTATTTAGCGTAGCTAAAGGATGTGTTTTTTTAACTATAGTAATTTGTCCTTTGTCTTGGCATCCATTTACAAATATTTTCTAATACACATCTGGTTGTGATGTGTATTAGAAAATGTGACTTGAATCAACAATTGGTCCGTGTTGTGGGAGTTTGAATCGAATTAGCGAGCGTTGCTATTCACCGCACTCTGTTGGCCTCGATGAAAATTTTTTATTCTTGTAAGTCCATGAACTATCACTTGCATTATGTAAAAAATTTGGATGAAGCCGCAATAAAATCTAGAATTCTAGATCAATCCAGTAATACCATAGCTCCCAACCCTCTTGTATTACTTATGTTATTTTGTTACTTAACCCTTATCATTCAAATCCAAGTTCATTTTAACTTAAAGTTTGTAACTTCAAGAATGTGATATTTAATGTTTTCTTCATAATAAATCCAGATGGTGTTCGGAAATTGCGGAGTGCTGCACTGTCCGTCCCTGGAGTCCAAAGGCTATGTGGAGATGACGTCGATAGACTCGGACACGTCGCACGATATCGTCGAGGCTATCAGCGGGAAGGGTGGCCGGTATTTAGAAGCACAGGTAAACTACATCAATTCTACAATTACTTATAACCAGAATAACATGACAACAAAATGAGTCTCAAGTTAAGTGTAGGTCATTGATATTGCCTAACTAAATACTCAAAGTATTTTAAAAGAAAACCTCGAATTTGTTAAAGTTATTGCTTGTGTGGCAGACACTCGCTTCTCATGCATGAGGGTTCAAAACCTGGCAAGTCCCTATATGACTTTTTCAGAGTCATAAGTTCCTATGATTATTTAATTACCGCTAACATACGATGAAGTTAAACATTGCAAAAGTATAAGTTTGTAATAGCCATTCCACCTAGACCAAGCGTGGCGATTAATGCTCATACCTTCTCCGTGTGAGAAGAGGCCTTTGCTCAGCAGTGATCACTTAATGCTGATGATGTGATGTTCTAGGCAGCATCATATGGCTCACACGAAGACACTGAATCTGTAATTTTTATTTAGGATAATTATAAAATTGATGAAAGGAAACCCTATTAAAATACAATTTTATATATCTCGATAAGTTTTAAAAACTAAAATTGATCGGCCGAGGCATTGCACTTTACATTCATTACAATGTAACGTAGCTCGGTTGATGTGGTTTCATTAAGTTTTACTTCGGTAATAAAGCTTTTATTGTTGCGTTTAATTGAATCTCATCGGTCGCATGACCTTTCAACTTTATTCCGTCGAACTGTCTAGTTCATATGGGCGAATTTAATTAAAATTGTAACAAGTTCGTTAGTAGAATGCATGCTTGCATTGAAACTTAACTCGAAGTTGCTTAGAAATGGGAGTAAAATTGTACTCCTAAGTATGGTAGAGCCATGCTGCGTCACGTTTCGGCTCGATCGGAGTGATACCATGGGCTCGCAAAAGACCTTCGTGAAACGGCCACAACACAACGTTGTGGCCGTTTCACGAAGGTCTTTACTTGTCTTGTCTTTACTCCCATTTCTAAGCAACTTCGAGTTAAGTTTGCCGTATGTGTGAGGTTACCGATGGCTTCTTTAAGCCGTCCCAATCCCCAATTTCTACCCAATCCCTAAATATCCTAAACCTTAATCCCCAAAACGCACTCGTAACTTCTACGGTGCGGTGTTGCGAGTGCCTATGTGCGGCGCTGATTGCTTACCCTCAGGCAATCCGTCTGTTACTTGCCGTCCTATCACACAAAATGAGCTTTTTTGTTAAAGATTGAAGCTATGTAATATATTCATAATGTCGTCCAATCAAAATAGTACTCGAGTTATCGACAGATACCGCTCATTTACAGGACAGCGCTACTGGGATACGCTTCTCGATTATCTCAGATTATCTTTGCATGGTCCCGTTCTGAGAAGTGCTTCTGCATATTCAAGTGGAAATGGTCTCAAATATATTCTCTAAAGTTATTGTTAATCAAATTATTTATTTTCCAATCATTATTTCAGATCCAAGGATCGAAAACGCAAGCAGAAGAAGGCACGCTGATCATCCTGGCGGCGGGCGACCGGTCCCTATTCGATGACTGCCAGTCCTGCTTCAAGGCGATGAGCAAGAACTCCTTTTACCTTGGTAGTAGTCAGCTGCTCCGGTTGCAGGCGCGAGGAACCTTGGACGTTGACATTTATGTTCTTTTCTAGCCCGCTATGTTTCCACCATTAATTTTAATTATAGATTAATTGACCGCAGTATTCATTTATTAGATTTTTAAAGCAAGTATCAATACAACTTTTTTTGCTGGCCTTTTGTTAAAGTAGTATATAAGGGTTTCTTTTTTCTTCTCCTCCAATAATATCTTTTGATTTTTTTCTATGCGGGATTTAAGGCAATTCGTATCCCTGGGAGGCGCTAGTGTTTCGGTGTTTTATGGTTTTATCGATGAAAGATCCTAACATGCAGGAGTTGCAGCGGATTAAAGCGATTGTAGCAGACTTGTCTCAATAAAGATGAGATTTAGATTAGGTGTGTGAGAAATGTTATCGGTAGTTAGAAATATTAGTACTACACAATCAACACAATAAAGACTACTTTACTTTACTTTACTTTACTTTACTTTACAAGCAAACCGTGACAAGGACAGTAATAGTCTCATTAATACAAATGCCTTCTTAATCACTGTAAAACTTATACCCCCTTATTACAAAACACGGTTTATCTTTAGTCCAGGTTTAAAACATTGAGTCGGGTTTTGAATTATGAATCTTATTGTCATCTACCTTCAATTCGAAATACGAAAACTGACTCAATGGTTTAGTCCTAGACTAAAGTAAAACCTTGTTTTGTAATAAGGCCGATAAAGATAAGATAAAGAAGATAATAAACACACGACTAAGTCTAGGTTCATCTTTAAACATTGTAATATGCATGCTTTTTATTTAACTTCTTTTTGATTGGCCAATATTGTAGTGAGCATTGCGGGTTCATTATTTTGTTTTTAGTTTTGCATTAGCAACATTTAATTTTGTTTTTAATTGTAGTCCACTTTTTTTGTTGTTTTAACTGTCAACGTCTTACCCGAGCGTCTTTTATTTATAAGTTTATCATCATTCATATTATTATAAAATATACTCCATTCCACTATCAGTCTGGGTATCAAAAACAATATTCATTATTTCATTCTCAACATCAATACTTACTTCATTTCATTATCTTCATTTTTAATCAATACATTCACGTTTACAAATGTGCTCTTTATAGTTATATGACATGAATATAAAATCCCCTGTCGTTATTTGTGTATATCATGAAAACATATCAAAACGAATCTATTTGATGATGATGATGTCTACGTTTTCTACGTGATAAATTTGTTTGAACTAATCATTTCTAAGCAATTTAATTAAAATCCCTACTAAGTGAAATAAACAAAAATATTATTGACCCTTCAACTAAACAAGTACAAGTAATGTGACAGTGGAGTTTAACTTTACATTTCCTTGCAGGCGACATCGGTAACGCGTCGAAGATGAACTCGGTGCTTCAAGTAGTGGGGGGCGTGTCCCTGGCCGCGCTAGCCGAGGGGCTCGCGCTGGCAGACCGCGCCGGCCTCAACCAGGCCGACCTACTCGACGTACTCGCACTCACTCCTCTCGCCTCGCCACACCTCATACTCAAGGGACGAGGTAAGGAACAAATACGACTCTTTAATATACTGTTGCATTTGCTAGTAGCAGGGTTATCATCATGTTCTAAAGTTCATTGCATAATCTTACCATAATATAGTCAAAAGTAAAAATCGCTTTTTGTAGTGTCATCGTTTTTTAAAATGTGTTAATTCAACATCATACGCCACTCTTCCTATCCTAAATAAATCTAGTGTAAACATGTTTTTTGCAACGAAAAAACTGTTGAAAAAGGTAAACTTTTTGTAAAATTAAACTACTTGATTTCTTTTTGGCCAGCCTTTCGAAAACTTGGCCTTAATACTGCTTTTGGTTATCAGACGTTGCGGTGATTGCAAATGTGCAATAGTGTGTTTACAGTTTTATCCAAATCAATGATGAAACGAATTTATATTTCCAGCGATGATAGAGTCGTCGTATTCGACACACCAGCCCCTAATGCACATGCAGAAGGACCTGAAGCTGGCGCTGGGTCTGGGCGACACGTTGGAGCAGTCGCTGCCGCTGACGGCGACGACCAACGAGATCTTCAAGCACGCCAAGCGGCTCGGGTACGCCAACCACGACGTCGCCGCCGTCTACATCAGGGCCAGGTTCTGATCGCCCGACCCGCCGGGACCTTGCGATTCTGAACACACCGACACTACTCACAACCTCACCACACAATGAAAACTTCCATTCTTCTAATATTTATCATGCAAGCCACTTTTGCAGAATATAAAATGTTAATCGTGACGCTAGTACAGTCACTAGGACTACATCTAGCGATGAAACTAGAAGAGCCATTGTCCAGCTAAAAATGGGATGGTAAACAAAATATGTCTGTTTTTTAGACATCATTTTACGCTATGTTATATGGATTAGTATATAACATTAATTAGTGTCATATATTCTGTAAAAGTTGCTCCAAAATACTTGTGTATTCTTAGGTCGTCGAATCATTTAATGTTTTTTAACTGGTTTTATGTATTCAGTTTTAAAATATGAATTAATTTACCTATGGTATTGATGATTAGTGATTTGTGCATTTGAAATCGAGGACAATCACAGGGTACGGTTATTGGATGTTTTAGTTCATTATTTTTTTAAATAAATAATAATTTTATTTTCTATATAATTAGTCTCATAATCTCGGCTCTAATGTTGCAATCAGAATAAATATTTTTATTAATAAATCGCTTTGTGAATAGAAAATCGAATGACCAATCTCTCCTCGCTAATCGATGTTTATATTTTTATCAATGTCTTCTCATGTTAGATCGCAAGAATTCTCATTGTATCTTTCTGTGTGCTGTGTACGAGGGTGACGAAGTGAGAATCGTGTGATGTAGTGTTCCCAGGAACTGTTGTGTTGGACTTGAAGCGTTGTATTACAGCGTGTGTTTATATGTAAGTGTTTTATCACAGGGTGGGCGAGGATAGCTCTCTCACTCATTGACTGACTATATCGTATTCATTAATTACCTGAACTCAAGTTACTTGGGGCCAGCACAGTGTGACTTCCACTATCACACCAGTTTCTTTACTTGACTACCCCGCAATAAGTCCTAAATATGAGGAATGCTCATGTGATCTGAGAGAGCTATTGTCTTCACTCTGTGCTACCTACAACTCCATGTGCAAATGTTTTAATCAGATTATATAAATAGAAATAAAGAGAACAAGTAACAGCACAATGTTGCCGTACCACTCTATTTGTGTTTTAGAGTAACAGATGTGTACGACATTATAAATTCGTTGTTGTATTAGCAAATTATAAGATTATAATACATTAGCAGTTCAGAAATAGATGTTGTGAGAGCTCAGAATAATTTGATGTAACTTCAATGTTGTGTAGTAGTGAATTCGCTGTCACAGAGCCGTAAGCGTCCCGCATAGCAACATTCAATTAACTTTATTGTGGAAATGTTAATATAAGACAATTTATTAGTTAAGTCACAATGCAACGTCTGTTTATTTCAATAAACGGTTTACACTAATACCTTCTCATTTTATTGTAGACTTCAAAATAAATCAATCGGTGATCGATTGATAAAGTATTTTATGACTGGGAATTTTTCCTATATGGAGCCCTTCTTTTTTATATCAAAAATTATTAAATATAAGAGAGTATGCATTAAATTGATGTTTCTTTTACTATATAGTAAGTTACAATTTTAATGAAAAACACATACAAATCTTTCCTGTTTTCTTGGTTTTAGTTTAAGATATCAAATGGACGTAAATGAGTTTTAGAATCATTCGAGCACATTGTGCAGTGTATGTGTTGGGAGGTTTATATGTTGATATGTTCCAAAGTGGTGCATGTTGCGTTATGTTACGTATTTCTCAGATTATTGTCATCATATGATAAGCTACAATAAACTATGATTAATAAATAAATACGACTTATTTTAATTTACACGTATCCCTCTGTTTTTTGTGAAGTTACTATCCGTAACGCATATTTTTATTGAAAGTAGCAGCATTGGGCCTCCGGTAACCTCATTCACACGGCGAATCACAACGCTGTGAGCTGTGACCGACGTAAACACACGTCGATTTTCTGTGAGGCCGTGGTATCACTCGAGTGGAGCCGATCCATTCGTGCCGAAGCTTATGGCTCTTATTATTTTATAATCATTAATCATTATCCTGTTTCTGACTTCCGAAGGGTATTGACTTTATAATTATTTCGATTGATCAATATTTGCTATGTACTCCGGTCCTAATGGTAGTGCAACTGTAGCAAGATCGGAAAAGAGCCTCTAATCCACCGAGAATAGTCATCATCATCATCAGCCTATAAGTGCAGTGCCACCTCTGTGCAAAGGGTCACTTGCAGAAGGTTTGGACATTAGTCACCACGCTTACTTATAGTGGATTGGCCATTTCAAACTTTTAGAAATTATAAGTCTATGATCCTCACGATGTTTCATGGTATCTAAATATACTTAGAAAATAAACAGCACTTGGTAAAAGTCACACCGGTACTTGCTAGGTTTCGAACCCCTCCCACATGCATGAGAAGTGGGTACCGGGTCCCCACACGACGCACATATCATATTCTCTCCACAAAAGAAATTATCTACCAATTACAGACTATACACAGACAGATATACACATAAATAATATTGATATAAAGGAGACAGAAATAATTACAAATAATCTGCTTTTTTGTGTAGGGAAGATCATCAAATAACTTCTCTTGCCCAGGGTAAGATAAGAGGGAGTGTCAGACTTTAACTGACTAAAACCTCGTTGCTTCTCCTGCTCCAGCTCGAGGCCGCGATATCTGATTGCGCTTGACCCGCGGCCCCGGCTAAGTATTGGCCATGTTGGGCCCCGTCTGTGGTGGTATTGGCTTTTTGAGGTGCGCGCGGAACGCTACGGTCCGCCCATAGGTCCGGTGCTGGTCGGTTGGCGAGCTGCTCTTGCTCGACGACGGCAGACCCGCGCTTACGGTGGCTAGAGAACGTCGCTTGATCTCCGACGCCCGTAGTCGCCTGCTGCGGCGGCTGGGGCGTGATGAGAATACGAGCATCACTGCTTCGCAGAAACAGTAGACGGCTGGCTTCCCAGTTCTTCTTGCCCCGCAACATGGCCTCGACTCAGGCCGGACGCGAGGTCGCCGCCGCCGATGACTTCCCAGAGGACACGGCGGTGCTCAGCCCATACAGGGCACACCGCCACCGAATGCTCCACCGTGTCCTCAGGTCCTCACAATGACGACCTGGCGTTTCCTCCCGCTGGATCTGAAACAGGAACCTTTTAACATTAGTTATATCAGCCGGAGTTGCGGGGTAAGCGCAATGAGGCACCGCGGTCCCGGCCTAGAGCAGGAGACAGAACAGGGGGGGAGGTTATTTCATCATCATCATCATCAGCCAGAAGACGTCCACTGCTGGACAAAGGCCTCCACCTTAGCTCTCCACGTCGAACGACAAGTTGCCACCTGCATCCATTGGCTCCCCGCGACTGACGTAGTCGTCGGTCCACCTAGCGGGAGGCCTGCCTGCCTACGTTTACCGGTCCTTGGGTTTATTTAGTAAGAATCATTTGAAGAATTTTCGAAATTCTTCAACAATTACATAAAACATTAGGTATATGCACCTAATGTTTTTTTTTGTCAGGGAAAGTTTCTGTTTTTGTATTGATATCGGTTTTTAATTTCGACGGTTAATTATAAGAACTGCGTGATTATATTGCTATAGGTATCTATTTAATTAGAAAGCAATATAATTACGGTTTTCAAAAGGAAACGTGCGTCATTATTTGCTTGAAAAATTTAGTGTCTGTAACGTATTGCAAATTTTCCCTCGCCTGCTGCAACATGAGTTCTCACTCGTGGCGACATGTAAAGCTTCGGGCGCTTACGAGCATTCGTTTTCAGACAATATCGGCCGTGGAAAGCTATTTAACTAGGATATGATTATGGATATATACTAGGATTATCTATCTACCTAATTTTATGACCTCTGCCTAGATGCTATCTGTTAAACTAATTAGGACTCAATATCTGGAATAGATTTTTTAGTCATAAAAAGTTTTTAATTAGATACGTCGAGTGGTCGCAAGCGGTATATTTGTCAGAAGTTCTACAGTTGTCGTTTTCTCTATAGGTAACTCTTTTAACACTATTTTGGGCAAAATATAAGTGCTTGTACGGGACCCTGCTGGGTCACAGAATGAATAGATATAACAGAGTCCCGTAGTGACTTATACTTTCCCAATCAGACAGTCGCTGGAGTGCAGCGGTCCTAAACAATAAATCGAACAAGCCGTACATTATTTTGATCGATGATGACCTTCAATATTGTTCAGCTTGCAGATCCGATTTTACGACAATGTGTATGTCTAAAAATATCGCAATCTTATGATTTAAGTCGGCCGATCACGCCACCCGAGGTACGGAGCGCAAGCATAAAAATTGCTAAACGTCGCTAAGTGTAGGGGATGTCAACTTTAGGTTGACATTACAAGAATATTTTTTAGGCAAAGTTTGCTTGGGACTTGTATCTTGCCAATTAAATGTAGGTAGTTAAAAAACTTTTGATCAGAAGATAGAACGGAATGAATTACGAAGCCATTTTAACAGAATTGTCAATTCAAATATAGGATCGAAGATACTCGTGGGAGAGCCTTGCTTTGAAACGAATGGGCCAGATCAGAGCGACACATAAACCTTCATAACAACATACCGGAGTGACATTGCCGCCTCATGGAAAATGTGTGAATGAGGTTGTTGGACGCCTAATCCCTGCCATTCCCAGACCTCAAATCCTAACCACCAAAAGGACTCTAACACTCTCGTCACTCCTCTAGTTTTGCGGGTCCTCATCCATATGATGGATTAATAATGGCCTTCGTACCATAAAAAAATTAAGGAACATTGAAGCGATAGTAATAATATGTAGTATTATCATTAATATCAGTTTAAACTTATTACTAAGATATTTCTAATGTACCTACCGGTGGCATGGTTTGGTATCGTGTCAAAGGTGCCTCACTGGCTGGACGGTAATAGACTGATCTATTCTAACTGCGCCCACGCATTTGCCTATTCGTTATCAGCCTATAAGTGCCCACTGCTGAGCAAAGGCCTCTTCTCACACTGAGAAGGTTTGAGCATTAATCACTACGCTTGCTCAAGGCGGATTGGCGATTTCAAACTTATAATTAGAAATTATAAGTCGAGGTTTCCTCACGATGTTTTCCTTCATCGCATGTCAGTGGTGTCTATATAATCATAGAAAGTATATATAGCTCGGAAAAATTCCCATTGGCACTTGCTAGGTTTCGAATCCGCACCCTCATGCATGAGAAGCAGGCGCCTTAACCACCGGGCCACCACGACATGTGCCTATTGCATGGGCCGTAGACAGAGAATTGGGCACAACGATTTCGACGTCATTTGACGGATACTAAATATATGTGCTATGGTGAGTATGTATTTAATTTCTATTCATTCATTGACGTCACTATTTATACAAATAAGGATGCTTACGAATACCTGGAATGCTTAAGAATTGTGTAGATTGCATAGCAATGGAAATATTAGATCAGTTTAAGGTAAAATAACTTGGTATTGTTTTGCAAGGATCGTTAGAAGATATGTTGTACTAATTTCTTACTCTAATAACAATTTGTAATACCGTGTCTCTGCAAATAATTTTTCTTTTTTTTGGTCAAATGAAGAAGTTGTCATGATCTTTTGATTCTGTGGATATTGTGAAACAAAGTTGTTTGTTTAGATCGGTTTTTGAATTCGAGGAGTAGGCCACGCTATATTTATTAAAGATCATGAACATGTATCGTGACCGTAGTTAGTTCAGTTGTTAGTAGTAGTAGGTAGCGTTCGTGGGTAAGGGTCCATAGCATGATGTATTGCTAAACCATTTAAAATTATTTCTCACATGAAAATCAAAGTTTTAATAACTTTAATGTTTATTTAATGTTCCACAAAGCCACACACAGTAGAAGTTTCTTTGAATCAATGTCAAACCGTTGGCGACCCCATAAAAAGTCAAGCTCGACATGCAATACCGCAATAACTCTAACCTTATTATGAAAGAAACTTATAAAGAAAAATTACAAGCTTATGTTCAGTTGATTACAAAACCTACGACACAGGAGAGCTAGAGACAATACTTTTTGCAATAAAAACTTTTTCATCAACCTCTTTACTGAAAACTTTTTAAAATAAATATCTGTTGATCAGTGTCAGTGTCATTTTATATCAACAGTTTATATAAATACAATTTTTAGATACAAGTGAAATTAAAGAGTGAATCATGTCGTTTCTAACAGAATATTTCGACGAGTACCGTCAGCATCCTATAAAGAAAACTAAAATGTAAGTTTTTAGCTTCAACCAGTTAAGTTTACTACAAATACTGATTATATAAGGCCCACTTGGTCCTAATTTTGGGCAAAACAAATAATTATCGCACTTTATAAATTCGCATTCGCATTATCGCATTTAAGATTAGATATGTTTCGTTTTTAATTTTGTTCCCTTCAGGGTATTGTGCCCTATGAACTTATCTAATTAAGTATTTTTCTTTACTACTCTGAGAAGAAATGCCGAAACAAACGCAGAGATCTATCTCTTTTCAAGTCCAGACAGTGTGAAAAATAATATTATGTGCGAGAACCGTGTAAGTTCATTCTGTAGTGGTCTTTTGAGGAAAGAACCACACCAGTTTAAGTGGGTTTTTTATTATTTAATAGGTCGGCAAACGAGTAGACGGATTACCTGATGGTAAGCAATCAGCGCCGCCCATGGACACTCCCAACGGAGGAGTTACGAGTGCGTTGCCGACCTTTTAGGGATTTGGAGATTTAGGGATTTAGGAGGGATTGGGGGAGGGGAAGGATTGGGCCTCCGGTAACCTCACTCACGCGGCGAAACACAACGCTGTGGTTATTTCACGCCGGTTTTCTGTGAGGCCGTGGTATCACTCCGGTCGAGCCGACCCATTCGTGCCGAAGCTTGGCTCTCCCACACTTAAATTCATTCATTCTAAAGTTAAGTAATGTACCCTAATTGGTTTGGAACCATCCCCAGGTGCCGTCCAGAGCTCAGGTGGGCGAAGTTGGAGGGAAAATGGCTAGATCCAAAAGTTGGCACACAAGACGTGAGTTTTTCGCTATCTAGTTACTTGCTCAACAAACTGAATTTGTATACTACGTAGAATGAAATCTGAAATGCACACACTGAATCTGGTTTCAAGAAATGTAGATTAAAAAAGAGTTTGTGACTTTCAGAAAGAATGGTCGGACGAGGAGATAGAAGCGTTCATCAAGAATACGATGAAGAGCATACGAGGACAGTCCACCTACTACAACTCCTATTGTGCACATTTGTCAGAAGGTAACATTACTTAGAAGGGTCCAGGACTCTTTTTAACAATCTTCATCAGCCTATAAGTGTACACTGCTGACTAAAGGCCTCTTCTCATACGGTGAAGGTTTGAGCATTAATCACCACGCTTTAAGTCTAGGTTTCCTCACGATGTTTTCCTTCACCGTATGCCAGTGGTGGCTAGATAATCATAGAAAGTACATACATATATTTTGAAAACGTCACATTGGTACTTGCCATGTTTTGAACCCGCACCCTTAAGAAGAAGTTCTTAACTTCCGGGCCACCACGACCAAGACCTATTTTAAAATCTTGGGCCAAGTGGCAGGAATAAGCCGGCTAAACCAGAGTGATACCACGGTCTCAGAGAAAAACGGCGTGAAACGATTACCTACAGCAATGTCTTTCGCCTCATGAATGAGGTCACTCGAGGCCCAATCCTTCTTCGCCCTATCATTGAATCCCCAAAAGGTTGGCGACACACTTGGAACTCCTTTGGTTTTGCAAGTTTTCATGGGGGCGTCGATTGCTTACCACCAGGTAATCCGCCGTAATACATAAAAAAAGGGAAATACCTAAGTACAGTAACTTAGACATATTTTAAGATTCGTTTTACTAAAGTACTACCAGTAAATCGTTTTAAAAGTAGTCTTATGATGAAGTTGCAATTACTCATTTTAGAGTAGTTATGATTATCTTTTCTAGAATTCAAAGACCGTCCCTTCGTACCGCGTGTGAAGAAGTTGAAACCCTGTTCAGAGTTACTTGAAAAGAAAGAAGAAGAGGTAGAAGTTACGGAACCAATCACAAAGCTTGCTATGAAGGATACGGAGCTGATGAAGGGAGCCAAGGAGTTGTACGAGTTGGACTTGGACCGACCGACGCTGCAGCCACTGCCCACGCACTTGAGGAGTTAGTCGGTTTAGTCAGTTTTAAATCAACGTAGGAGATAAAGAAAGGTCTATTTTAGAAGTACGCGTCTTTTGGCGTACTATCTTCGATAATTGCACAGTTGACCTGGTGGCTGAGCAACCGGCTGCCGTGCAACGTGTCACGGCTCAGATTCTCACTCGGTACATCTTTAAATATATGTGTGATCATAAAATGTTGTTCCTGGTCTACGTATGATGTTTATGTGAAATTGCATGTTTGTAAACGCATCCAGGACACCGGAGAAACTCCTAGTGTGGGGCAAAATTTAAAGGATATTCATAACCCTCATCATCTGTATTTGACGATGTCCACTGCAGGAATTGCCTTGACCTTCACGCTTATCAGGTGATCGTTGGGGATTGTCGTCATTGATACATCAAAGGCCTTATTACAAAACAAGGTTTTTCTTAAGTCAAAACAAGGTCTTAAATATTGAGTCAGGTTTGTATTCTGAATCTTATTCTCACCCACCTTCAATTCGAAATATAAAAACTGGCTTAAAACCTGGTTTCGTGATAAGGGGGATAGTTTCTGTTCACATTGGCACTGTAACTTCTAATTTTGCTGCATTGTCTTAATAGACTTTGTAACAAGTTTCAATGTCTGTCATGATTTAAAATCGTTATAAAGACTGCATTGTTGCTGAACATATCGGATAATGTTGTCCGGCGCTGCCGGGGGATCAGCCGTCAACTGTTTTTGATGGCAGTGAAAGACTTTAGAACTATAAAGTCTTATATTAGTTTAACTAATGATTAGTCTGCCTATTTAAGGCTTGTGGTATAAGAAATATGATGAGGCAGCTGAGTCTTGTGACTCTTAACTGAAGCATTTATTTATTTGAAAACATAACAATCACCAAACCAATACATGCCAACAACCAACTTTTATAGAATACAATACCAATAGATATAAGCTTAGTTACATTATCATTGTTCCAATCATATAAGATACATTCATTTTACATACATAAGTACCTAAGTATATGTTTCTTAGAGATCTGAGAACAGATTTACATGTAATCTTATATTTGTCTAAGATTACATGTAAATCTGTTCTTAGGGGATACTTGTGTAGAAATTGATATATTGTTTCGAAGCAAATTATAGTAATGAAATGTTTTGTTTTGCCAACGGATGGACCTCTGACGCAAGTGAGTATATAATTGTTATCAACAAACAAAAGTGCATGCGCCATTGTTTTTGTATAAATACTCTCACAACACGCGGCTAATTCCGGCGCACTTCCTTTTACAATGTTTGTTTAGTTAATTATTTTATGTTTTCATTTCGTTAACGATATTCTGTTGTTGTTAACAAGACTTCCCTTGCGTGATATTTAGATTGTTTTGTAGCGTTTTGGTAAGATTTGTAATTGCCTGTTAATTTGTTGTGTTTAAAAGGTTTTTGCCTAGTTGTTAGATTATGTAGAACTCTTTCGACACGGTAGTTTCTAAAGTTAGCACAATTTATTATTTTATTAAACTGACTATTTTATTTCTATTTGGTATGAAATAGCATGTACATGACGTATGGTAGATTTATGAGAATTTTTATGTTGAATTATAAAAAAAGTTAATTCATTAAGTAGCTATATCCTAACTTAATGAATGAAGGGGTGATTGTTTTTAGGTATTTTTATAAGTTGAAATGTTTTTTTGACTGGGGTAACTTTACTATTCAATTATGACTACCGAACACTGCATCGTGACGACAGGCCTACAATTCGGCTAGCAGTTGAAACTAATACCCTGAGCCTTTTCTACTTAAGTACACCTAATTTTGTATTTTTTGAATGAGAAAAGTTCAATACCCCGTTCAGGGTCCACAGCAGATAGAATCACGAAGACTAATGTAAGATTTAGTTACGTATAGCACGAGTGATCAGTAGTCAATGGTCGGGTGTCACATCAATATAAACTTGAGTGTAAACGGTCCCTTTGTTCGTACCCTGCATTGTTTTGGCGCGCGACGGCCATATTGTCTCGTCGTGTCAACAAGCTGCTCGTCATTGGCTAATGTCACGTTACATATAAGTGTCTACCTACTATCCACATTAACTACAAAATTGCATAATTGTATAGAACATAGGTGATATTCTCTATAGAATTGTAGATAACTATTCGTTTCTTTAAGAACATAAGCCACTCTTAATAGCTTGTGAAATGAACTCGATTTTTAGTTTTTCTTTGCCAATATTTTCTGGATAAAGTCGCGTAAACGCTATCTTCTAAGTGCCTATTGCGAGTTTACCTTAACGTCATTGAAGTGTTACCGCGTTTGGGCTTCTGATTGGTTGGTTAACTTGGAGCGAGCCAATCAGAGCGCCGAACGTCACGTGTCGATCGCATTAATTAACGAAACTCGCACTAGGCATTTTGTTCTGCCTGGGAAATTATTTATCGTAGTTATAGCAATGCCTAATGCTTGGGCTACACTAACGGGAAATGCCATTAATTATGGCGATCATGGGCGTTGCTCGTAGGTGTAATTTGATCACTAAGCAAATGACTTAAGGTATACATATTTTTCATTTTTTAATATCATCAATTATCGCGATAATTATTGGCATTTCTCTTAAGTGTGGCCCAAGGATGATGGCGAACTAATGACTTCAATATTTTCACAGTTTACGGCTACGTCAGGCCACAGCTTTGGCACACGGGTATCAGTGACTACCAGGCGGGCATAGCTCGGCTGGCGTACGAGATGATCCGGGATGATCGTATCCCTCGCTACCACGCCCACAACGGCTGCAGACCGAAATGGGGCATCCCACCAGACGGAGTGAGACAACCAGAGCTGGATGGAGCACCCTACACTGGAGAGAGGCTGTATTAACAAACGCAATGTTCTAGTTTTAGGGATATTGTAGCTATGAGAAAGCAATTATAAACTGTCTCGTTTCTTTTCAAAAAGTTGAGGATCTGTATAAATTGAAATCACACATTTTGCGTTTCTAACAGTAATTGTTATAAGCCATTAGATCCAGTTTCCATAAGTGAATGCGATCTAAGACTAGACTAGAAAAATGGCAACTGAATTTGGCGTCAAAATTTTCTGGTACAGTACTGTAATTGAAATGAAACATTTAATTAATATGCTTACACTAGTAATAAATAACAGATGATTACGTATATGTGAGAGTAGAAGGTTTACTTCAAGCTGACATTGTGTACAAATTGTTAGTGAAAACATTTGGAAAACTTAATGTTTTGAACTGTATTTTTCATTAAAATATGAAAAGTTAATAGTTTTTTATTTTGGTCTTTAAATACAATTTCTTTGTGTACTCATTAATGGTGAGACAACAATGCTACCTTTGAATGCGTAGGCGCATGGCTACGGATCGTAGAACTACCGTAGCGATTTGCTACGCCACGTTTCTCTACGGCCCGTGTTAAGTATAGACTAAAATAAGTATTTCTTTACTTTTTGATGGTAGACTCGAGTGTTAAGGTTGAAACAAAACTCTTTGTTATGGAGATACGCGATAAATAAAAGCTATTTAAAGATATTTCATGCCATCACAACAGTACAACGGATGCGACCGGCTCAGCGGAGATTTGTTCTGTCCAGCCGTTATTAATTCACTTGATACTCTTAAACAACAGCTTTTATACGCACGTGTTAAAATTTTACAGAGGAATTTTAAGAGACGTCGACTCATTATCACGTTTTACTAGCTTTCTTTGATATTTCGCATCTTTTTAGTATTTTTTTATAAACTTTACTGACGAATTGACGTTTACGATTGCCGAGTGAGACATCAAAAGTGTTCACTTGTGAAGTAAGGTCTTGCTAAACATCTTGCGATATTAAGAATAAAAGGTATGGGAGAATCAATCACTCGTCTCACAATAAACACAAAGTTACGAGTTTTAGCAAGAATATATTGTTGAAATGTACAATATTGTGTTGTTTGTTTGGGAATCAGGAAATATCTGACAAAGGGACGCACGTGTTTATGCTGTATTCTGCTGTTTGCCCCAGTCCGGGTGCTGGCGATGAAGATTCGCAGTGATGTTAAGGTATATTAAACTTATTAACAAAAGTATGCGAAAGTCACATTTAATGAAAGAAACTACACTCTTGTCTGCACGGTTGGTGCCGTGGCTGGGCAAGTGACTGCCATGCAAAGTGTCGCGGGTTCGATTCCCGCATGGAACAACTCTTTGTATGATCCACAAATTGTCGTTCCGGGTCTGGGTGTGACATGTATGTAAAATTGTATGTTTGTAACCGCACCCAAAACACAGGAGAAAAGCTTAGTCTAGGGCAACGTGTATTTTAACAACAATGAAAAGAAAATGTAAAATCAAAATGGAAAGCCTGCTAAGTGCGTGCCCAAAATTCACGTGTCTACGGTACTTTTAGAAAAAGATATAAAGCTCATTTTGTTTCTCTATTTATAGAAAATAGAAACAGAAAATATAGAAAAAAAGTCAACACAGTCTAAACTGCAGCTCTGTATCATTGAAAGATATAAACTTGATTTCTGCCACTATGAACATAAAACAGAGTTTATATTAATCCATATATTTAATAAAATTACTCTAAAATTACATTTTTAAATATTACAATAAAATAAAATAAAATAATATTTAAAAATATAAAAGTAGGTGCCAGCCGGCAGCGAGAGCAAGGTCCAAGCTACCGGCAGTTAGGGCTCCAAAGACAGGAACCTCCTCACAATACGTGCCGTTTCAAGGAGGACTGCCTTCTGTATGAGGCCCTTGATCCATCCGCCTAACGTCAGCCTCTTAAGGTGGTTGTCGAGGCTTTTGGGGACTAACCCATTTGCCGACACAACTATCGGCACAACGATAGCCGAGTCCACACTCCACATGTCAACAACCTCGTGAGCTAAGTCAAGATATTTCAATTGTTTATCTTTCTCAGCTTTCACGAGGTTCTCGTCATGAGGAATGGCAACATCGATTATCGTCGTGCGACGCGCTAGTCGGTCTACCAACACTATGTCAGGCTTATTGGCTACAATAGTCCTGTCTGTGATGATAGACCGATCCCAGTACAATGTGATATGGTCTTTTTCGAGAACTGGGTCGGGCACATACTTGTAGTACGGAACCTCAGACTCAACAAGCCGGTATTTCAAAGCAAGTTGCTGATGAATAATCTTGGCCACCTGATTATGTCTGTGCAAGTATTCGCCATTAGCCAAACGACCACAGCCGGAAATAATATGTCTGATGGATTCACCGGGGCTATGACATGCCCGACATATGTCAACCGTCCCATCCTTCATAATATATTTCCGGTAGTTATAAATATTAATCCTATTTTTACCGTCTCCAGCTCTTGCATTACTTGAAGTACCTATGTATACGCGGCTGGGTTAATTTTTCTGGAATGTTGCCAAGTGCAGTGCCATTGTGAGTGGAGTGGCCACGTCACGATGTTCATTTGTTTTAGTCCTACTATCTGTCATTGCCCCAGCTCTTGTATTTTTTGGTCAGACCCCGACTTTGAAGTGAGTCAGTCAGCTCTTGTCTAGCTTTGTTACTATTTTGAGATGGCTTTTGATGTCGTCTACTGTCTACGATTGTTAGACGAAATATGGTATTTGAAATTTATGTTACGATGTGTGGATTTTGTGACGGTTTAGAATCAAAATAAGATTGTAGGTAGTTGATGTCGATTTTTAATTCTATTTCTTGGATAAAAGGATAACGTTGTTTCAATTAGGTTTACCTTTTTTGTGATAGCACTTTCAAAACTGTATTTTATATTGATTGTTTTAAAATTACCATTTAATCATTAAATTATCATTTAATTTTAAATGAATTAAAGACCAAGCTTAAATTCGGATGCGGTATTCAGGGGTTATGCGGCAGGTTTGCGAACGAGATGACGGGTCAATTGATGGTAATCATCTAGCGCTACCCATAGCCACCGGCAAAATCAAGGACTTCAAGTTTTACAAAACGGGATTAGGGAACCCTCACTTACAGAGCAAAACATCAAGCAAGCGTTGTTCACGTCGATTTTCCGTAAGGCTATATCCATCCCATTGGTGCTGAAGGTTGTTGTAATTATGAAATACCAAATAACGTAATATTAAATAGTCAGACTAAAAGTTTAAGTGCTTTATCACGAAAATTGTATTATAAAACAGTAAAACAGCAAAAAGTGCTATTACATGAAAATGTTACGGGGCGTCCAAGCAATTGGATAATATTACAGTGTAAGATTTTAAGTGTAGTCTCTGAAATCCATTTTCACGACAAATGCATGAATTTAAAAATATCTGGTAATTCGAGATAAAAGATCATGATCTTTCTGCTCTTGAATCTATAAATCTAATAATAGCTTTTATACTGCTAAGAAATAAATAAATATAAATTACCTTCTGGTTATTTATTTTAGATATTTTGTAATGGTGATTTAGACAATCCCTAATTTATGTAGTGATGAATGTTCTAACAGGAAAGTCTAGTCGACATTGGCAGATTTTCTTGGAGAGGAAACTCAACTAATGAGAATTCTAACATCTGTTTATTTGTAATTGGAAATGAACATCTATATTATGTTCAATCAATATTAGTATTGTTATGCTTTTGAGTATTACATAGGGTTTTGTGTAGTAAATATGGGTCTAGACTTCAGAGGTTAATATAAATAGGTAAATCCTCTGTAAGATCTTTCTTCGTTACAAATTAGCCGATTTTACAATAAATATATTTTTTGTTCCTGCTTTCAGCGTACTGATGCTAAATAAGGGAAAAGTTTTTTTATTTAATTATGAGATTGTGTGAAAAAAGTTTATTTGGTAAAAGGTCATTTGATAAAATAAGCTGTGGTTTTCTTACAAAATGTACCACAATATCAGTAAAAACTGCATATTAAAACTATGCCTTTCAAATAGTATCAAACAAAGTCAGGAATAGTATAGGTACTTTAAATACCATTATCCTTGTTTTCATCAGTCAGCTGCTGCAGCCGCATTCTGATTCTAAACCGGCACAGAGCACTAAGCTAATGGCGTTTCACCAGAACATTACTAACTCAATGTACCAAGGAGGTGATTTTCACTTCTTCGAAGGTGATCTGTTCTATATTATTATTAGTTTCTCAGAATGTTTCAATGAACTTTACATTTTTAAGAATCCTCTCAAGATTTGTAACTATGTTTAAGAGAAAATGTATAGTGACGGCCCTAAATCATCCCAAATAAGATTGTTGAAGTGATAAATTGCGTGTTCTTGGCGTTTGGGACAAAGAACATGATGTCACATAGTTTTAGGAAGCTTGTTGCGTAAGCAACGTTCGAGGAAATAAGTTGTAAATATAAAGAGCAGCGAGTGATCTTCAGGGAGGTCGGTTCTACAGAATTTTTAAAATGAAATCCGTTTGTCTCCATTTGCTAAGTATTATTAGTATCAGCAGTTTTCTTTATTTTGAGGTGTGATGAATCGGGAGCTCCATTTTAGATTATGTGGATTTTTGTTAAATTATTTTTTTTGTTAATTTTTTTATGTGGCAGTTCGGCAAACCAGCAAGCGGATAACCTGATTGAAAGCAATCAACACTGCCCATAGATATCCGTTACAACGGAGGAGTTACGAGTGCGTTGCCAACCTTTTGGGGATTAGGGGTTTGAAGATTTTGGGATTGGGGGAGGGTAAAGTTTTGGCCTCCGGTAACCTCACACGGCGAATCACAACGCTGTGGTTGTTTCACGTCGGTTTCGTTGAACCATTTGACGTTTGACTGCGAGTGAGGAACTTTTTCTTATTTAGTAGGAACCATCGTAAAAACGGACAGAGAATACGTGAAACGAATAGTCACGGTTCTATTTTTTATATTCAGGAAAACAG